CCGGCCCCTGCCCCTGCCCCTCGGCCTCGAGCCCCCGGAGGAGAGTCTGGAGCCCGCGCCGTCGCCGTCGCCAGCCGCGTCCTCCTCCGGGCATGGAAGGCGGCGGCAAGCCCAAGTCCGCGTCCAACAGCCGCGACGATGGCAACAGCGTCTTCCCCTCCAAGGCGCCCGCGACGGGGCCGGCGGTGGCCGACAAGCGCCTGGGGACCCCGCCGGGGAGCGGCGCGGCGGGGAAGGAGCACGGCAACTCCGTGTGCTTCAAGGTGGACGGCGGAGGCGGCGAGGAGCCGGCCGGCAGCTTCGAGGATTCGGAGGGACCCCGGCGGCAGTATGGATTCATGCAGAGGCAGTTCACCTCCATGCTGCAGCCCGGGGTCAACAAATTTTCCCTCCGCATGTTCGGCAGCCAGAAGGCGGTGGAGAAGGAGCAGGAAAGGGTTAAAACTGCAGGCTTCTGGATTATCCACCCGTACAGTGACTTCAGGTGAGGGCTCCCTGGCGCCGCCCCACCCTGCTCTCCCCCCCCCTCCCCGCCCCCAGGCGCGCCCTCCAGCATCCTACCCCGCCCCTGGGAAGGGGCGCCCCGGGGACTCGCAGCGGGGTGCGGGGCAGGCGTGGCCGCGCTGCCCGTGGCTCCCCACTCAAACTAGCCAACTCTACTCTTCAACTAGTTTCCATCCCGGGAAGGTTTGGGGTTAGGGAGTTTCTTATTCCCCAAGAGCGTCAGCGAGGCCCTTTCCCTTTTCCTGGTAAACTTCGCGGGATAGACAAGGAGGGAAGAAGGCCACTATGACCCCTGGACGCGAGGTGTCTAAGTTACACTAGGGAAACTTTTACTTCGGTGATGGGAGAGTTAGGACTAGGGCAGGTATCCTTGCTAGCGCTGCTCCCCAAAGAGAGAGAGAGAGAAAAAAAGAGGCTTCTGGGATTCTGGAGATGAGGAAACTGGAGACAGTGACTCACAGGTCCTAGCTGTTCCTGCCACTCTCGCCCCTGGGAGTGTTAATCTGTTGTTCTTATGCTTATAGGCACTCTTGTCACCATTGCGTTTCCCCAGATCAGTGGCTGGCAGGCACAGGAAGGACACTTGCGCTTGGGTAGTCTGACTTGAGGTTTCAGCGGAGCCAGTTGCTGCCCGACTGGGCAGGAGCGTGACAGGAAGCTTCGAGTTCCCGAAACAGAGACAGGGGGGCGTTTCTAGAGCCCCCCTTCCTGAAATAGAGCGACGACACCCGCTCTTGACCTTGACTACAAATCCATTTCAGACATGTCTTTCCAGTTTCCCAGTCTCAGTCTCGGAGGAAGGGCAGCAGAGCTTGTCAGCAGGAGAAAATGAATATGAGTTCCCTGGTCTTATTTGTAGCCCAAGTATTCACTTGGTTAATAAGCACGTTTAGAGACTGACAAATGAAGGTCGTGAAGTAGATCCTCTTATTAGCGTGACATGCTGCTCCTGAACACAAGCAGAGAGAGCTTCCTTCTAAAAATCCTCAACTAGTAACTCCGGGTGATACACTTGTTTGTTTGTTTGATTTGAACAAGGGGAAGACACCACAAGGAAAGGAGTTCATGTGCACACTGAGAGTTTAGGCTCCCGGTAAACCGCAAAGGAAACATAGCAACAAAAAGCATTACTTCCAGCAGTGTACAGAAACTGACCGAAATTGCCAATAAGTGTATGCACGGGAGGGAGGGAGCTGTCCACAGTTCTGAATCAAGTTAACTGCGGAATACAGCCCAACAAACAAAGCTTGGGGAGCCGACTGTCCATCTTCCCTGAGATGTTGATTGCCTCAGAAACCAGCAGTCTCTCTTCTTGTGCATGGAGTGGATAGATTTTAGGAAAAAAATTAATTTAGAAATGCTTATTTGCAAAAAAAACACAGGAAAATCCTATTGAAGGGCTTACAATAGCTAATGACATTTATTGTCTGGAGATCATTGAGTTCAATTGAAAGAATGTTCAGGCTGAAAGAACCTCCGGAGTAATCAAATATGCTTCATCTGCGAGGAAGGTACCGGGAAAGGCAAACTCATAGATGATCTTGCTCCATCTAAAGCAAATTAGGTTGTTACAGTCTTTAGAATTTTACAAGTGGGAATCAGGTTCGGATACCACCTCTTTTTGAGTCCTCCATGGGAATATAATCCAAACAGTAGTATAAATTTAAAAAAAAAAACTTTGCAAGAAAACAGCCAACAGTCTTAATAATAAAAAAGTGAGAGTTATATTCCAAAAACAATCTATGACATTCAATGACAACATGCAAAAAAGTGCTAAGCTTTTTTTTTTTTACTTGAAATCATATTTAATCAAATGAGTGGAAAGGATACATTTTTATTCATCAATAGGAAAATGATGGTGTTTTTCAAAATAGTAGCATGTATCAAATGATTAAAGTCTCCCCTGGCATTTACTTTTTTTTTCTAAAAGTATATAGCCTATATGACAGCTTTCCATGAATTACAATCATATGTCCAATCCATGGATCAGTGAAACTAAAGGTTTCTATATATTTCCCCCAAGAAAATCTGGTGAAAGAGAAGCAAACGCTGAGCAAAGGTGGGAAGTGAAACCAAGTGATGATTTGGTTTCATCCTGCACTTCACAGAAGTGAACGATGACGAAGAAGTCAGCTATGTACTCACAAACTCTACTCCAGTTTGGGGGACTTGCTTGCCCTTGCATCAGTGGAAACATGGCAGCAATAAGCCAAACAATCATGATTATTTAAAATTTCTAGATAGAAGATATCTGAAAAAATACTGAAATGAAGAATTACAGTATATCTTTGTTTTCTAAAAATGACAAGCTAAGGAGGTCATCCTGTTCTTATTGTACCTAGTTGGGTTCAGAAGACATTATTAATTAGTATTTTTGCATAGTCATGGTACCAAATACAAGCATTTCCAAAACCTATGGCATGTGAGATAATGTAGTTGCTAAACTCACAACCCAAATCAGGCAAAATTCAATGTTCAAGTGGCATTCAGTGGATGCTGGATAATGTTGTTTTTGATTGGCTCATCTCAGACCTTTGCTGAGGAAGTACTTTAAGGGAAGTGTTTGGCTGAAAATACTAAATTTTCAAACTTAAGTTTATTAATCTTCTAACAGAGACATTAACACTTAAGACTATATTTCCATGGAAGGGAAGTGGTTTTGGGAAGTCACAAAACAAAGTGGATTCTTCCCATGGCACCTACATAGTTATCTAGGAGACCAGGAGAGTTTCCTCTGTATTTGTTACCCATCCCAACTTTGCAGAGTGTAGCATGACACTTTTCTTCAGGACATGCTATGGTTTTAACGCTGTGCCTAATATTCTGGTTGCCATCTCGGGATGATTTCTCAGGCTAGATCCCTTTTCACTTCCTTCTAGGGTGAGGGTTGTGCTCCTGCTGACACTTTCAGACAGCTAGCTAGTGTCTCTTTTGCTCACTAGAGTCCGGAGTGTGCTACTTCTGTGTCTGGCGGGTAGTAGTCATCCACTGCCAGTGTAATTAGGGCAGAGGCTCTGCGTTTCCCTTTCTTTCTCAGGAGAGGACGATGGTAGGAACCTTCAGGGAGTAAAGAAGAGCCCAGTGATATCAGTTCTGTAAGAAATCATGAGGAGGAAGCTAGGAATTATATATATATATTTTTTTCTGTGATTTTAGTCATCAAGGCTGGGGAAATATTGGCAGGTACTTATGTTTTTTTAAATTTCAAGGGTTTTTTTTTTGTATGTGTATGTGTTGCCTATCGTGTGTGTGTGTGTGTGTGTGTGTGTGTGTGTGTGTGTGTGTGTGCAGGTGAGTCTGTCTATGGATGCCAGATTGGATGTCTTCCTCAATTACTTGCCACCTTGTGATAGATATTTTAAAATAATTCATACAGGTGCAGTTTTGTGCAGGGAAAGCATGGTCTCAGTTTTTTTTTTTTTTTTGAAATTTGTGTTAACAACACACATTTAATTTCAAGGTTAAGTGTTAATATTTTGAGAGAAGCGGTAGTGGTTATAAAATTATTAGTTAAAATTATAATTCTCACCCATTTAACAATTATGTGAATATAGGCAAGTGTGATCTCACAGCCAATTGCTAGTTATGATATAATTATTCAAATGTGACAAAAGGATATTTAGAATGTTTTTGTGGATGTGTGTGTGTGTGTGTTTTGTGTGTGTGTGTTTTGTTTGTGTCTTGCTAGGGGTCAAACCCAGAGCCATGGACATGCTAGCCAAGTTCTCTTTAAGTTATCCTCTACCACAATGAATGATTTCATTATGAGAACAACTTACCTTGGAAAAAACTTGTTACCATAATGTTTTCTATTTTAGGGATTCTGATGTTACTTTGTTGGCCCATGCTTACACAATGGCTCATTTAAACAAAACGCCCCTGTTCTATGAAGAAGCCAGCTGACATTCTGCCCTTTGTTTAGGGAGCAGGCATGGGTGTGTGTGTGTGTGTGTGTGTGTGTGTGTGTGTGTGTGCTGTATTTTGATTTCTGCTTTTCATTAGTAGCATGAGAAATGGTGTGCAAAGCCTACTGTGTTGTAAATACTCCAGATAAGATGTCACTTTCTGAAGGTAACAGCACCCCCCCTTTCTGTGTCTACCTCACAGTGCACGTGACTACTGATGTCAGAGGTCACTGACATGCTCATTAGAGAAGGGAGGCTTCAACCCCATTCCCCAGTTCATCAGAATGAGATCATTTATTTCCAGGAGCGCCTCACAAGAAAATAATTCAACCTTCTGGGGTTCAAGTTCTAATTAGCTTACCCTCACAGTATCTGCACACTGCATTCTCTCAGTTGTGTCTGTTTTCCCATATCAACAGAGCCAGAATAATTCAGAAAAATTTATTTCCATGTTGGGTGGATCTTTGTATATCTTTAGATCTAATTAAGTTTTTCATAAAGATTATGTCAGTGGTGAGCCAAATTAAAAAAAAATATTTAAAAGATTTTAAGCTGTGGATTTATTAAGCTGCCTCTTTACTATATTTTATGACTTAAAGTTTTACTTAATGTTTGGAAATTAAAAGCCATGTACTAAATATTATAGAAACATAAATATTTTAGTTATAGTAATTCAAATGTTATAATTTTCAATTTTCCTGAATAAATTTTAATTTAAGAATGCTTTTGAGGGCTTGCTATAAATTGAGAAACAGATATGGACATTATACCCATTATATTTACCATCTGCAAGCTTGGTTAGTTAAATAGTAACAAAATTTACATATATTACAAAGACATTTATTACTAATTTCATTATATGTTAACTGTGCTGAATTCAACTGTATCTGCGTTAACAAAACCCACATACCAAGACATCATCACCAGTGGGACACAGCTTAGGATCTACAATTCAGCATATTTGCACTCAGTGAATCTCTCTCCCATTGTAAGCACACCAGCAAAATGTTCTTTATGTAAGTTGCATGTGATCTCCTTCCCATTCAGGGTAGGCTTTTTATGTTTCTCAGATAAT